TCCATTTGTGTCTTCCAAAATCCAAAGTTTGTACCATCAAACTTATCGATTTTGGATATCTTCTCATCTACTGTCATTCCTCCCACTTAAATTCTGGAGCGCTGATACCAATTGTTATGAAAATTAGACCGCTACTAATTCCACTAGGATCAGTGGGACACAAAATAATTTAAACTGTGAAAAAATAAATGTAGCAAAATAATAAGTGCAAGTGATACAAAAATTTACGTGGTTCGGGAATCGTGCCTACGTCCACAAACCCACACCAATTTTTTACTATATCAACAAGAGAATAAAAGGAATACAACAAATACACTCTCTATATTTTATTTGCCTATGCAAAAACAATCTCTCAATTTTCTCTTGTTAATTTCTGCACAAACTAAAGTCTAACTGCTTCTCACTTTTGTACTTTGCTCACCGTCTCTCGTGTTTTCACTCTACACAATTTGCACTTGATTTTACTCTCCGTTTTTACACTTGCTTTGGCCACCAATTTATAGAGAAATTCTCACCATCCTCATTAAATGCATGTCCATCAATTTCAACAAAGTTGCCTTGCATTAAATGCATGGCAAAAAAATTTTCCAAAAAAATTCCGACTGCATGGTTGAAAGTTTCTCCATTCACATTGTTTTAGTCAACAATTGCTACCACAATTTGGAAAATATTTGTCTGAGACCATAGAAAATTGTGAAGCCTAAGTTATAGGCTCCAAAATTTCAACAATTTGGCTTTTCGTTTCTATTATTGTTTAGAAGCTAATATCGAAATTTCCGAGCTCTGTCGTCTAGTTCAAAGGCTGTCTAAAGGGATTTTGCCTTATAGATGACTTGCCTCAAGGGATGGTTAGCGCCTCAGTAGATTGAGCTTGGAAGTGTGGTTTGGTTTTTTGTACGACCCTACAAAGACAAAAGCTAACTTCTCCATCTTTAGATATGTTGGCTCGGCATAATGAAGTGATTTGGGAAGTAGCACGGAGAGTTGGTCTCGATTTGCTTCTAAACTATCGATTTAGTGCTTAGGCAAATTATCTTGTTATGGATGCTCCTCAAAACACCATGTCGATAGACTAAGCCAAATATTATATTCCACTTTGTGTTTAAAAAAAAAAAAAACAAAACAAAACAAAAATGTTTGAATACTTCATCGTGCCAACGAAAATCTAACTCAAAGTTTGCAACAGATAAGTGCAATTTAAAGAGTTTTGGCTTATAAAGTAGCAGTTAATTTTCGCAAATTGTTGAAGGCAGAACGATCTCTGTCAAGCCAGCCATGTCCATAGGAAATCCTTCAAATTATCTTTAGAAACCTCCATACAGTAGCCTATTACATCCGATTCAGAGCTGTCTAATCAAACTGGCGTGCGGCTGCTCCCCTAACTACCCAACACATACCCATGAATATACTTGACTCAGGAAAAGTTGAGCATTTTGTGATGAATTTCGATCACAACTGTACAGATTCTTTGAAGTGTCAATTTTATAAATTTAAAAAAATTCATGGGGGAGTCAGAAAATAAAAATCAATGACATTACAGAATTCTTGTATTCCTACTCAAATTCAATCTTCAAGGGACTTATCTACTCTTGTATGAGAAATGTCATTGAGACTGATCCGAAACTATCGATCTTCATTAATTCTTCACCAATCATCCAATCCATCCTTTCACATGCTTTTGTACCATCACAAAATAGTAACTTTAACGTAATCAGAATAAAGAAAAGAGTAAAATTATGGAATAAAGAACAGCATCATCCATTTGGCACGAGTTCGAACAAGAGTCATAGACATCCATTCTTTTACAAGATTAAGGATAAGGTGATTCTTGCTAGAGGACTATACGTATATCTCTAATAATATGAACAACCCTAATAAAGGTTAAAAAAATCTAAAATAAAATTTATCTCCAATCACATTATTCAAAATGAGTTAGAATCATTATCCAAGAATGAGGAAGCAATGCATCAGCATAAGGATGAAATCCCCTTAACTTCAATGGTTAGGAACAAAAATAAAACCCAATGTTAAGAGGAGGTTCAAATTGTTAGGCAATATAAACAACAAAAAATATACATATTCGAAACTGAAAAGAACAAGAACTGGAAAAAGGAAACTTCAATAAAACTTTGCCCTAAGGCAATAACACCCAATTACACTTGTGCTTCTATCACTGGAAGAACCACTGTAAGAAAAGATCAGAACCAAGGTGAAAAACTCCAGATTTAGCACTCAAACTATTACCACACAAGATCACAGAAAATCAGCCTTCCCTCAACTATCGATGTTCACTCAAGAACATCACACTCTACTCCAATACAAATCACTCAAGATCATAGTAGATTGAGAGAGTATCAAAATCAAAAGGAGTTTTGATTTTCAGAGAGAAGAAGACGAAGAACTCGAACAGCCAGAGAGGGAGAAAAATATCAGAGCCCAATAATGCACATTTCAAACCATAGAATGAGATATTTAAGAGGTCACCAAAAGGTCAGCCATCCAACGGTTATGGGGTTAACAATTGGCAACATCTAAATCGTCCATTCTTAAAAGTGAAAAATGCGATTTTGTAGAAAACACAACTTTGTACCATAAAACCAACAGAATTTTATAAAACCAGTCAACTCGTCAACACATCCAGTCAGCATGGGTTGTTGCATCATTGTGCCACCTTTTCACCCAAATATTATTGTTGCATAGAAAATCCGGGATATACATTCACATTACGCGGTCGATAAAATTGATAGCCATCAAAGCCATAAGCATAGTACCCAAATCACTAGCCTTTCAAGGTATGTTCGGTACTCAACTCCTACTACAGTATTATAGACCACATCTTAGCTTCTTTTTGTTCTTTAATACTGTCCAATACAATCCAGTCTCTTTTTCTTCTTTAATATATCCAATACCAGACCTTACCAAACAGGCCATCAAGGCATCATGCCAACCGTGTTGTTCCAATGTTACAAGTATCCAAACATCCACACATAGAGGAGAAAATCTTGTGTAGGGCAGGCATACCATCCCATGTGGTATACCCACCCCATCATGGATTGACATGTGTACAAACTTTGTCAATTGTGGATTTTTTAATTGAAAAGTACACTGGCTCCAACTTTTTGACATTTCCACTGCCGTGTCACTCTTTCTCCCTTTTGTCTTTCACTCTTTCTCTCTCCTTTTGTATTGGTTTGTTTGTTTTACATTCTTTTGTTTTTAAATATTTTTCCTTTTTTTATTTTATTTTTTTGAAAAGAGAATAGAAATCCCTTTTTAAAATGAAGAAGCAAAGAAGTTGTCTCGAATATAATTTCAAGCCAAATTAGAACATATATTGCAATAGTTCTTAACAAATAACAAGCTAGTAATAATGTTTTTAATATACAATAATGTCAAAGAAAAAACACTTTCATCAAAGAAGATATTGTCTAAAAATCATCATAATCCACCTCAATTTTTTATGTGTGGAAATTTAGCAAAATAATTACACCATAAACCCCTCTTTATCTTCTACAATAACTTCCACTACAAAATACCACACTTCAATCACCTGAAAAGTGTAAACAAACAAATAAATAAAATTTTCAAATCAAATTCATTGGCGCAAAACTTATAACTTCATCAAATGCATTTTATTTAATAAAACTCGTACGAGTCTCATATCAAAACTTTCACTATGTAGTCAATAATCTTTTCTCTATAGTTCATCAAAATTATAATAACTTGGATCCTATATAAAAATAATTCATTTACTGATGATGATGATGATGACGACGATGATGATAATAATGATAGAAAAATTACCTTAGTCAAGTAATGCATATTGTTTGAGCTTTGAAGCATGGTTGAAAGGTGAAAATTTGAATGCTCGAGAGCTAAGTGATGAATAAACGGGGTAAAGGCAGTCAATGTAGGCAAAAATGTTGGGTAAGGTGTGTCACCCTTTTTTTGATGATTGTCTTCTCCAACTATAAACCAAATGTAATCATCATAAGTGACCCAAAAAAAAATCATATATTACTTTAAGAATTGAATAAGGGTAAGAATTGTAATAAAAAAAATTAAAATTATCATATTTATTACCTTTCTTTGCCTTCCTTTTTCTTTTCTCCAAAATGATTTTCAATCTTGCATTTGTTATTCCTTTGGCTTTCACAGTTGGTGGATTTATTATTTTTGGCTCATGTAAAAGAGCATCACAAGTATAATGAGCATCATCTTTTCTGAACTTTTGAAGCATGTTGATAGTTTCCTCATCCTTTTCAAGTAACTAGCTTCATTGCTTCTGCTTCCTTTTCTTGGACAATCTTTGTTCCCGAAATTGTCATTGAGGCAACATTATAGACATTATTTCCTTTGTGCATCAACTCACTAAGGTGTAATGATTTTAAAGATTTCTCATCATTCGCCATTATTGACAGGTCACTTTTGTCATTACTTGCGGCAATTCCTTCCTTTGCCTCTTTAGTCCACCTTTTCATTATGAATTGTGTTGGTATGCTAGTGAGATTATTCAAATTGAACACCTTTAAATCATGTCGGCATAAAATCCCTAGTGATTGAAATAACTTGCATGAACAAAAAACATCAAATGTAAGGGGATTGAATTGAAGTTTTGTGCACTCTTTGTTAACCTTCTTCACTGCTTCATATGTGTAAAGTTCATAATCTCTACACACTTCTTTCATCCTCACTCCAATTCAACCCGTTAGCTCCTTTCCAAAATGACTAAACATTTTTGGGGTATATACATTAACTACATGACTTAAAATACCACACCTTATGAACAGACGATGAATACCATATTTGCATCGATAATCATCTTCTAATTCAGCCAAGCGCATTTCCTCTATTTTCTTCTCATAGTGGTTTACAAAATTAACAAGGTCCATTATCTTGATAGAAATTTGATGAAAGATATTATTTGTGCTCTCACTCCTTTGCGTGGACTTTATATTTGCTAAAAATGTATCCAAACTAAAAGCACGACACCACTTTCCTCACAGTGAATACAATTTCTTTAGCCATGAGTGACTCCCGAGGTCAAACTGTTTAATCATATCATCCCAAGAAACTTGAAATTCTTCTTTACTATAACACAAATGGAAACATTTATTGAACTGGCTTTTGAACTCTGGATTTGCATAATAGCTACTAGAATGATGTGTAGCATTCTTAGCAATATGCCAAGTGCACAATCGATGTTGCATATGTGGAAAAACTACTTCAATTGCATTTGCCATTGCTTTGTCCTCATCTATGAAAATAGTTTTCAGTTGTCCATTTCCCATGGACTCCTTAAATGACTCGAACAACCAAATAAATGATTCCGTGGTCTCATCTAATAAAAATGCACAACCCAATAAAACATTTTTCCTAGGATGGTTAACTCCAATAAATGGAGCACATGTCAAATTGTACTTATTAGTATGAAAAATAGTATCAAAACAAACAACATCACCAAAGTAATCATAATCTAACTTTAACCTACTATCTCTCCAAAAAAATTTGTCATCCAAATAAATTGATCCACTTGCATTGAGTAGAAAAAGTTAGGATTCTCACTTTGCTTTAACTTAAAATGGTTTAGCAAAGTTTGTCCATCCCCCGCTTCAATCATTTCACCTTTTATTCTTTGTAAATAATTTCTCATATCCTTTATGGTAAATCCAATGTTTTCAGCTCCACCAACCTCAATTGCTAAATAAAAGTAAGATTTTTTTGGTCTTATACCAACATTAACCATGGAATTAATGTCATTTGCTTGATCATTAGACACCCTACGTCCTGATTTGAGAAATTGTCTTTCTTCTCGTCTAGCAAGTTCATGGTTATGATGAGTATTGATATGAGAAATTTTCCATATTCCACAATCCACTATAAAAAGCACCATAAATTTGCAACCTGTTCTTGTCTCTAATCTATTATACCGCTTCACTTCAAACAACTCTTCATCCCTCTAAAACCTTTCCTTTGAATATAAAAATTCTCACTCTTTAATATTTTTTGCTGCATCTCTTTGAATATGCCCTTTACGGATACTAAAATCTTTTCTAAGAGTATATGTATTACATATATTATAAGCTTCTTCATCTTAATATACTTCCATTCCCACATTGAGTTCTTCACAAATTTTTTCTCTACAACTTAAATCCTCCATTGAATAGAAAACCTGATTAAAAATATTAACATATTAAAAACCCGTTCAAAACTTATTCATATCAACAAAATGAATACAACAAAAGGTGATTTCACTTTCCCATTTATAGTATCATCTTATGTGGGGTGAGCGGTCCCAACGATTCTACCCCATTTCAAAAATTAGGAGCAACAAATGGCTTTGTTAAAAATATTAAAAACCCATTCAACCTTATTAATATCAACAAAATAAATACAACAAAAGATGATTTCACTTTCCCATTTATATAATATAATTACTTAAAAATTTTAGAGAAATGAAATTAAAAAATTAAAGAATATCTGTGATTTTTGCTGGACTATAAACTGCCCAGAAAGTGCTTCCGTCTTCCAACAAGACTTTGAAGAGAGAGAGAATGTTTATTAGAAGGTGGGTCGAATTTTTGAGAGAATGGAAAAAGCGGAAAAGAAAAAGAGGTTGGAGCTATGTACTTTTCAATTAAAAAATGCACAATTGGCAAAATTTGTACACATGTCACTTCAAGATGGGGTGGGCATACCACATAGGATGGTATGCCCGCCCCACACAAGATCATCTCCACTTAGAGGGAGGAAAGGAAAACTCACCACTGAATCATGATCATGGGATTCTCCAGTTTTGTTTCTGAATAATTCTTGAAAATGCCTAGCATTTCTAACCCTTGCTTCAGTCCAATCTGTTAAGAACAATTATAATTACAAACGCATGTGTCAACATTATGAAATTGACTACTAAAAAAAAGCATAGGGAAATCTTAGTAAATAGTGTTCATTAAAGAATGTTATAAAGAATGGTTAGTTTCAAGTTCAATTAAAATTACATGCACATCAATGTTCATACAAGTTCAAGGCTAGAATTGAAATCAAATTTTATTTAATACGATATGCTCTAAACGAATGTTGCAACTTAAGATAAAGTACCTCTTGTGTATCCCTGGTATATGTCACGACCTATTATCATTGTTTTCAAGGGTAATATGGTTTAATTGCATAGGAAACATCTTTAATTATGTGCCACTTCACGGGGAAGAAACCATTCCACTTGTCGAGCTGCCCGAAGTCCATGTTTTTGTTGAAATCAACATGCCCAATCATCTCAGCTACACCAATGAACTGTCCACTTCCGTTCACCTGGTTATAAACCAAGCTATAAATAACTCCAAATAAAAGAAATGCATGTTGGGTGAGTAGTACGGAACATGACCGAATAGTCAGTATAATGTACAGGATTTTAATTTCTTTTTCTTCTTTAATAAACTCAGTTCCATCAAATCAATCCTACGAAACATAGCATGAGTGACTGAAACTACTAAAACAAGGCATAATCAAACTAAAAAACTGAGTATATGATTTATGTAATGATAAACAGAGGTTTAGGTAAGATGACTATAGCAAAAGATCACAAAACCACAAACATATCGACTGTTGAGTTGAAAATAAAAGGAAAAAATGAAACAAGCTTACACATAATTTCTCACATTCCGTATCCATATTCAAGCCCTAAATTCATGTTCGAACCCTAATTTCTTCTTCTTCATCAACATTATCCCGAAATAAGTAGTACTAGAGATGTTCACGATAGAAATGGCATGCTACCATTTTAAACGTTTAATATTGTTTTTATTGATTTTGTGTGGATTTCACTTTTTGCTTCCTTATATCTACATGAAAATGAACGAATGCAAATTTTTCTACATTTGGAATGAAATTGATAACTCGTGATCCAAAATGGTTTGTTTCCAAATTAAACGGCTAGATGGTATTTCAATTGATTTTGCATCCATTTCATTTTATGTTTACTCATATCCATATAAAAATCAACGAATCCAAGTTTTCCCTACATTTGAAATTCGTGTCCATTTTACTTTATATTTATGTGATAGTAATAAATTCTATTCCGATTATGAGATAAGATACTCAAAAGTTTAGCTCATTTATCTTGTGCAAATCTTCTATGGTGTTCCAAAATATGATCGACTAGTATTGGAGTAAAATCAAGACTCTGTAACTCAAAATGACATGTTGCTTTTTAAACAATTACGTGTTGTTTCAACTAATTTCATGTTTGTTTCATTTTATGAACCTCGTATCCAAAAACAAATTTAATTAACTTTTTACTTCTTTGTTCATGAAAAGCAGATGATAAGTGGGTGCAGACTCTCTGCCTGGGCCTCGAGTTATTGAAAACGGATTGGGCGATCACCTGCCCAAGCCAAATTTTGGTCTATCCGTTTTTTCTTCTCAATTCGTTTTTGATATTTTCATACTTGTTCTACACACCCATATGGATGTATTATCATTCCATTATACTTATAATTATAAGCTGAACCAAATTAAAATACTTCCTTCATTCAAAAACCAAAAGCCCATGCATTTAGAGAAATAGGGGACGGCACATGTATGCAACACAAACAATTACGTATATTCATGTCTGAATTGAATGAGAGCTCATAAATCAAAAAAAGATACAAATTATTGGATGGCCATTTTCTCAAATGTTGATGATTATGAAATTGAGAAATGAAAATTCAATAGGGATAATAATATGAATGAATACCAGATGGTTCGGTGGCCAGCAGGAGGACCAAACCTACTGTGACCCCTTTTCGCTACATTTTTTCTAAAAATATATTTTTTTTTAAAATTATTTTTAATTATATACTTTTTTATAAAATAATACTACACGTAAATTTAAATTTCTTTTTTTATTTTTAACCATACATTCTCCAAAAAATCACTATTCTAGAATATATTTTTCTACAAAATCTCATTTTAATGAAGCCTAAACGGAGACATAATAACAACATGACAATTAGTTGAGTGTTTGTTAGTAATGCCATGAACATCCGGCAATCGATTATACGCGGTTGCATAGCTGTATCTCAATAATAAATATTTATTCTTGGCTTTACTAACTTAACTATTGAGGCTTATTTTTATTGAGAAAGTGCCAACACGTAGTTTGAGTTAGGGCACCAAGTTGAATCCAGTTGGATTGATGGTTGGAAGAACTTGTGATTGGCTTTGAAAGTGGTTGAAATATGTTTGTGATTTGCAATGAAGATAGTTGTGCTCACATGAGATAGCTCCTAATATGGGGACGAGTTTTGTCTGGATAGAGTACGATTTCTTTAATGAGAATTATTGTAATAATGTGTTAAGTCCTTATTTGGTAGAAATTAAAGTCAGATTTTTAGTAAATTTTAATGAAATTTGATGAAATCTGTGATTGAAAAGTTGTAGATTCCATTGTAACGTGGTTAAAGTTAATTGTTGAATTTAATTTAGATTAAAATTTCTCATCACATAGGGGCTAAATATTAACTATACATTAGTAGATAATAGGTTTATGACAAAATATATTAACCTTGGAATGGAACCATAAGCCCTCATCATTCTTTTGTGTAGCGGTAGGAAGCCGTTAAAGTGATCTAATTTGAAGAACTAAAAGCATGTTTAAATAAAGTTAAAACAAGCAAAAATTACTTTCATACGTCTGTACTTGGTTTTGCCAAAAATCAGATAATTAATAGATTTTGATAAAAATCGTAATTAATTATTGACTTTAACTTATATTTTTATCAATTTTGTAGCTGAATGAAACAATGGCTAAGTAACTTTAAGGAAAACTTTGTAGAACAATCTTATTGGAAAAACTATGGTGGCATAGTCAATAAAGTTTATAAAAAGTAAAGTAATTTGTTATTTTTTAATGTGTTTGAATAATTATTTTTCTTTGATTAAGCAAAAAACTACCTTTTAAAATAAAATAACTTAGCGTGTTAAAATAAATAATTTATTTAATTTTAACTTTGACAAAGAAATTATTTATTTTGAAGTTAGTATTACTTATAACTTAAAAGTAATCTTTTACGCTTAGCCAAACATGCCTAAGAATAAACTCGAAGATAATTAACCGTAATTAAAACATAAAACAATTATGCATTGAAGGTTTTTCACATGAACCAAGGATGGTAAGCTGGTGTTGGGAACTTAGGGGAGCATAGGAAAGAAAGGGACATTGGACAGTGGAAAAAGGCTGGGAAGGCTAAAAGAGTTTTCTATATTATGTCAACTAACTTGGTGTAGATTTTACATTCTGACTAAACTTCTAATCGATTAAAAAAAAGGAACAACCGTTTACGTCGAATCTTCACAAGAAAGTCATCTTTTATCACAAGAGGTCTGAACAAACATTCTGTAATTATTCCTCTCTAATATACTCCAATATTCGTGACATAAAGATAAACTTGTTTATATTTTTACATAGACTAAAAAATATAATTAATATAGTTAGAAATATAAAATTTTCTTATATTTTTTTAATATACCCCGACATTAAATAATAATTTAAATAGAAGTAGTTCATATTTGTTAGTAAGATGGGACAATGAATAAGGGCATATTATAAAATCACGTATACTTTGAACAAGAAAAGTGACTATAATTTGGAATTCATAAAAATGGAAAGTCAATATATCTTGAACAATTCTTTTCAAACAGGCTACGTAGGCCTATTTTTCCAGGGGCCATTTGTCCGACAATGGCCTACGTGGTCTTGTTTTTGTAGCAAAACTCATCTTTAAGCAAACATATCTTTATTCAACTATATGGGTCCGAGAGAGTATGTAATAGCCTCACAACTTAAGCTTACTATATTCCCTTTCTTCTCCATTAATGAAGATACTTAATCGTACTTATTTAGATAGATGGGGATATTTTTGACATTAACACATTATATTAGTGACAATATTGTTTAGTTTCCTTTTGATAGAGTATTTTCATGTCAAATACTATATTTTTGAAGATTAAATTTTTATGGGTATTACCAATGGCAGACATTTTTCTTGGAACCACAAAATTAGATAAAAACAGGCCGATTCACTCCGATTTCAGTTAACATTTAACTTGTTAGATTCTTGTAATCGAGAAACAGAAGTTTGGTCTAGTTCCTTGACTCTGGCTACATAACGAATTTTAATTTTGTATCTAAACTGACTTTATATATATATATATATATATATATATATATATATATAGACACACACATAAGGATTCACGGGTACGGTATTAATACAATCAGTTTCAACGAACTTTTTACTCATTCTTTTCTAAAAATTACAATATTTAGCATCTCTTATGCAATAACCACACAAACTAAGTGTTTATTTTAGAAGATTTATTTCTACTCAAAACCAGATATTCACCTATTAAGAAGGCACCTATAAACAGAGGCGGCCTTGAAAGTGCGAGAGTTGAGCGACCGCACAAGGCCTAAAAATTTTAGGGGCACCAAAAAAAAAATTGTTATAGTCGTATATGTATTTATAATTAAATTTTTAAAATATATATTAATTTTAAAATAATGTGACCAACTAATTATAATTTCCTTGAATATAATATTTTTAAATAGTATTCCTACCTTAGTAATGTGAGGGAAAAGAAAATTTGTCGAAAAAAGATCAAGCCGACCAAAGAAGTCAAATTAGAAAATCTGAATTACCTGTTATCTTTTCTTTATTATCTTTTCGTCAATCTCGTTCCGTGATTTTACTAA